AGTTTAGTTTATTCATATAGCGCCAATTCACAACGCATCATTTCAAGGCACTTTACAGAGACAATTAAACCAGATCATACAGCCAAATTGATTAAAAGTTTTCTATCTAAGGAAAACCAGTTGATTGCATCAACTCACTGACTCAAAAGCAATCCCTCACACTAAGTATGCTTGTAGTGACAGTGGGGAGGAAAAACTCCCTTTTAACAGGAAGAAACCTCCAGCAGAACCAGGCTCCGTGTGAGCACCCATCTGTTTAAGCTGACTGGGGCTTAAGGAGACAGAAGCAGACATAAAGAAAGAAGCAGAGAAACAAAAGGCAAGTGGGAGATTAGAGATAGAGTGATAAAAGTGAGTTCTCTCTGGGGACTCCAGCTTCCTCCCCAAGAGTCCAAAAACATGACTATTAGGTTTACCTGTTAGGTTAATTTCCTTAGGTGTGAGTGTGTGTGAGTGAATTATTATTTGACATATTTGTCTCTGTGTTGCGAAAGATTGGAGATCTGTCCAGGGTGTACCCAGCCTCTCGCCTGTAGACAGCTGAAGATAGGCACCAGAACCCCTCACAACCCGGCTTGGGATAAGCATGACGGAAAATGAATGGATGGATAGATAATTATATATGTGATTTGTATGTGTTAAGTTTATCATTTCACTGGATTATCTTAAATAAATCATTAGTGAAATTATATAGCATATGACCTGCAGTCAAAATTGGAATCTGGTCTTGTGTGTCTACTACATTCTCCACACTACAAAAAATGATGTAGAAATAAGTACAAATTTCTTAAATTAAGTATATGTCGCCTTAATTTGAGTATGTAAAAAAGGTGATTTGCCAATGGGAAGAGTATTATACTCTTAAAATAAGATAATAAGATATTATACACGTGAAATAAGTCAATGCAATTTTCTTATTTTGAATGTAATTTCTTTTGTTCCATTGGCAAAGTGTCTCACTTTCCTTCTCAATTCAAAGCTCCTGTTGCAACATTTATTCTTCTTAACTTGACTAAGGAGACACAAAAGGACATTAGTGAACAGAGTCAACAGTCTGGGGAAAGTGAAGCAAGAGCAACACAAATGCTAGCACAACACCAAGAACAAAAACAAAAAGAAACAAATAACCAATAAACAATCAGTTGAAAATCAGTAAAATAAAAAAATCAACCACAAAAACAAAATTCCGGGCAACTACTAAATCAACTACATCAAAAAGAATGAGCTGACCAAAAAAATAACGGGTAGCTTTGTTCTGTTGGGCAACTTTAGAATATATATTGCCTACCCTGGTAGGGGTGTTAAATATGTTATTTAATCAGATATTATTCACAGTGTGATGTATTGTTTGTGATCACTACTGGCAGTGTTAGAACAACAAAGAAATAGTGAATAAAGCTCACATCATGGTCAAACAGATAATTCTGCACATACAAGGAATAAATTCACCACAACTTCCGCTCAAAATATAAGAGTTTATTAACAAAATCGTTCAGCTCCAATTCAAACATATTTCAATTAAAAACTCTTGACTAAAAACTAGTGAAACTCAACTAAACTAAACTACTATATACAAAGAGGAAGGGGAAACATGGTTGAAAAACCATAATCAGTGTGATGATGCAGTGATATCACAGTTTAGCATGGATAAGTTTATGTTGTAGAATTTGGAATGTGATCAAATTAGCTTTTAACTTACATAGAGCAATTAGAACCTTTTCAAACCCGTTTATAATACAAATCCAAAAGCTGAAGAAAACATTAAATAAAGTTTTATTAAATAATTTGATTAATCAGAAACCAATATCCTTTATTTAAATTATCCTTTACCCTCTTTGAAATTGCTAGCAGCGAATAGACATTAGGAATAAACTCTAAGTGAAATATTTTTTTTTAAGCTTATAAAGAAAACAGCTCAAAACATTTTACTGTAGCATAGCAAATCATCCAATCCATCCTGTTAGCTTTGTCTTTACTCAACAGTGAACACATGAAATGATCAAAATCATCAAAAGACATATTGTTTAACTAGAATATATCCCTAACTGTGCCAGACCTTATACCTCCTACCTTATACCTACTTTCCTTTGGTGCAGAGACATAGCAGGGGAGCTTTCCGCCTCCACTCTCTTCATCTCTTCAAACATCTTGAAAGATCCTGAAACTCAAAGAGGTCTGATTTTCAAAGGTTATGTTCTGACATGTCAAGCATCAAAACTTACCCTTGGTCAGTCTGGAAGTTTGGATCTTGAGTGTGGCTTCCTCCTAAAAAACACTCCCTATTTAAGAGGTTTCTCACAAAAATAAATGTTTGCCTGAAGAAGTTCTAGTACTGAAACCTTTTAAAAAATGTCTTGTTATGCAAGTTTGACTTTGTGCAGGAATGTCATGATCTGCTGCTCTGGGTTTTTGATTCTGTTCAAGTTTTCACTTTACATTATCTGTTAGGCTTCGATTTATGTTATTGTTTTCTGTTATCACTTTTAAATTACTTCTCATTTTAACCATTCCTTTTTGATGGGCTTTTAATTATCCCCTGTTTTTGTCATGATCTGGCCTGTTTGCTCTCCCCTAATTAGTAAATCCTCTCACCTGCCCTCTTCCTTCCCAGCCTCAATCATAATTTATTCACCTCACCTGTTTCCTCTGGTTTATATTCAGTTCAGCCTGAGCATTCAGTGCCAGATCGTTACTTGTCTTTCTGTCCAGTTTTATTTGGTTCATGTCCTGGATCCTAGCAGCCAGTGGAAAGAGGGTTTTAGTGTTTGTCTCGTCTCCTGATTGTCCACTGTTCCTCCCCCGTGGAGTCCTCTGGGTTTTTGGCTCATTATGGGGGGAGGTTCAGTTTTTATCAAAGTAAGCCTGGCTCCAGGGAGGAGACCAGTTTAAAGTCCAGCTTCAAGTTCCGGTTCCTACGTCCTGTCTCAGCTACCCTCTTCCACTGAGCCTGCCTGTCTTCACCTGATCCTGTGTTGCTCCTGTGCGTGACCACCTGGTCATGCTTCTGGTCCCAGTCTGACTCTAAACCCTCCTGGAAGCCTGTGGATGCCTGGAAGTCTGGATCCTGCCACCTGTCTCTGTTCCTGCCTGATCTGGATCCTGCCTGTTCCTGTCTGTTCTGGATCCCTCACCAGGATCAGCTTCCACCATCACCTCTGGGACTGCAGCACTGGGGACACTCGTGGTCTGGACTGTTAAACCAGGTAAGTGACCAACCCAGATAATCATATATCAGTTTATCGTGGTCACTTACCTGTGTTTCCTCCCCCAGAGTGTCTGAGATTGGGCGGTGCCCCGCCCCCCGCCTGCAGTGTCCGCGAGCCACAGCTTTTGAACTTTCCTACTGACTGTCTCTCCTGAATACTGGGTCCATCTGTCCGCGTTTCATGACAGTTCTGCATTCTTAAGTCTCTGCTCCAGTTTTATTTTGCCATTTCTTGTTTACAGTTATCTTCAGTACAGTAGTCTTCCTGAACTTAAAACATTGGGCATCTTTACAGCCAATGACTGAATCCTTTTCCATAACTGCTTTTATTTAAAGCCCTGGCCCTTTCATTGAAATTCTTCATCTCCAATGTAAAAGCTGTTGTAAATGTGAGAAAAATCTAGCTGAATTTAACTGTCTTTTACATGAAAATGTTTCACGTCATGCCAAACTTCAAAACTGCATTACTAGATAAATATTTTAGTACATATATGTTCTCAATCCTTTTCAAAAGTGTTAGATGTTTAAACCAAAGAGGGTTAATCCATTCAGTAGGTATAGATAATCCACCCATTTTCTATACCCACTTTTCTATACTGGATATTGAAAATGGGTCCATCCATTCACAGTCCATAGCACGGTGATGCAGACATACAAGGGAAATTTAGTCACCAATTAACTTAATGGTCATATTTTTGGACTGTGGGAGGAAGCTAGAATACCCAGAGAGAGACCAGACATGCACAGAGGAAACTCCTCAAAGAAGTCAGCAATTGAATCATCAGTGTATTAGAGGGCATGATTGTCATTTATTTTATAAAGTAGACTAATCATTTCCTCTGTACATCAGCGGGTAACACAACATCTACTGTGATAAAAAGGAAATGCATTGATGGGAACAATAAAACAGCTTTTCTTTCTTAACAGATGCGCAAGGTTATGATATGAGCTTTTTCTGCCAGAAATGCACCACAGATAAACATAGGTGCATACAGAAAGTAACAACAGGATTAGTGTTTTACAGCTGATTTGTTATAAACTCAGACAAGAAAAAACTATAATAAAAAAAATCCTTTCAACACTGTCATCACCATACAACCTTCATCATACAAGCTCCTCCTTCATCAAATAGGCCTTTTGGCTCCAGTTATCTCAAATAAGTAGGGCTGCAGCATTCTATTACTTTAGTAACCTACCTATTAATCTAATAAAGATACTTCAAGTAAATTAACATTTCCAAGGTGTTTATATATATATATATATGTGTGTGTGTGTGTTTGATACATTTTTAATGGGGACATTTAGTTTTCTTCTTTGGGTTGGTTTAGCACTAAGGTGTGAATTCAGTTTAAATTAGGGTTAGGTCATATAAGATGACTGTAACTCAATGAAATGTCCCCAAAAGTCATGCAGACAAAGGCTGTGTGTGTGTGTGCAGTGTAGTTTTGTAAAATCATTTTTAGAATTTTGTTTCAATTACTGCATATAGCATTTGTTGGAGTCTGTATACCATTAATCAATCATCAATCAACTTTCTATATGCTTCAATTGCTTACTTTCGGCTTTCATCTAAATGTATTTACATTTTCCTTTACAAGACATTTACACAATAAAATAAAAACAAATCAGGGTGCAGAATAAGAGAAAAATGCAGCCTAACAAATGAATAGACGCGACAAAGTTAGTCCTCTGGATTGGTTTCTGTGGTGCAGGCGTTGCTCACTCAGATCCTTCTTTAGATAATCTTTTGTTCAGTGTCCTTGTTGATACTGCAAATTTGCTTTTTTTTAATTTGCTTTTTCTGTAAGGTTTTTGTGCACTGATACAGATTTTGCACCATCTGTAGGAACATGCCAGTACACATTGTTAAACAAAATCTTTTCTTTCTGGAATCTTCTAAATATAAGTGATAAATGAAGTTTCTTTTTCAATTCTCACATTCGGTCCATTCTAGCTTAGCTCAGAATGCCTCTCACTTGGCTGTCATTTTTATGAAATACAGACAGACATTGTATAAAGCATGCAGGGAATGTGCAGTTGAAATCAACAGAATAATATTTGATATTATGCATTGATTTAAAACTAAACAGAAAGTTCCTTTTATTACATTTTGCCCTTTTCCTGTCCAGACATCTACAAGATGGAAAGTTTATTATTTCTTATAAATAGTCCAGAGCCATTAGGATTTGCCTCATTTCTTTGTTCAAAAGTTGCTGAAGAGCTCCTGCCTCCTGCTCCAGTCCATAGGGGGGGCTCGCTTCTTGTTGCGAGTGGCGAGGACCTTCTGTCTAGCTTCAGCGGCTGTGGGACTCAGGCGCAGGCCACTTTCCATGAAGGGGTCTGAAATACGCCTGTCGTCATCCTCAGGAACCTTGCAATGATGCAAACGGATAAGATTCATTTAATTTCAAACCATTTCTCATTGATGTGTTTATTAACTCAGAATTCTCTAACCTGGAAACTCATCTCTGAGCTGCTGATTTCTGACTGGGTAGTGGAACTTCTGGAGGATTGGGAGGCTGAGCTCCCATTGGCTCGGGATTTTGGAGACGTGTTTGTGATGTCAGAGTCTGTCAGAGTGACGCTAATGACTGGTGCATCTGATATAGGGAGCTCAGTGGTTGGAGAGGGGCTTGGACGGCTGCTTTCTGAACCTCTATCATCAACATAGACCTCTGTCCAACGAAAAAAACAAAGTTCAGGATTATCTCAGTAAACGGCACAGTTTAATGTTAAGAGATGGAGGGCTGGTTGACCTTTAATGTGGGCAGCAGTTGGGTTAATTCCCAGTCTTTGAAAGAGTTCATCCGTCTCCTGGTCAACCACAAGAAGGCAGACTTCATCCCCTCTGGATTTGATAAGCGCCACCACCTCTGAGTGCCTCAGGCCCCTGATGTTTACTCCATTTACCTGGGACAGAGAAAAAAGGAATAATAGTGGAGAGAAAGCTGTTTAAAAGAGGATAATCCATCTGTGAGAGGTAGCCTTAGTACCTGTGCAGATAAGACTGTGATTTAAGAGGAAACTGCTTTGCATAAAATCATCTCATGTGTCAGCAATCTCCATTTCCATGTCATTTACTGCGCACTTCATGCAGTTGAAAATTAAAACAAAGCTTATAGGCAAATTTTGTAAGGATATGATAAAGTTCAAAATGTATCAGTTAATGCCGCTAATTTGCAAAACTCCCTTTAGTAGTGGACACCACTCTCTTCTTTTATGCAATTTGAAAGGGGTAAGGCATTAACAGAAGAATCTTTAACCATTACTCTTTCTGTAATCTAAATGGACCATGGATTACCTTTTTATGTCATGATCCCAGCACTGAGATATGACTACTGACTCATCTGACTACTCATTTCACACACCTGCTTAGCCCCGCCCAGTTCTCATTACCGCTTATCATCTCCACCTGCATTAATCTCTATTTAACCAGCCTTTAGGCCAGTCATCAGTGCCAGATTATTTCAAGCCATGGGTGAGACTTATTCTAGAGTAGTTGTGTTCTGACTACCTCATCCTGATATGTGCTACCCTCGACGTCTGAGCCTGTTCTCATCTCATCTGTTTGCCTGACCTGTCTTCGATTCCTGCAAAATCTTTGCCTGCTTGTGTACCGACCGGAACCATTTCCCGACCACTGAGTCTGCCTGCCCTCATCCAGTCTGCACCTGGAACGGTGACCTGACTCCGTCTCTGACCACGTCACCGACATTGGCTTTGCCCTCTGGATCATCCTGCCTATATCCGTCTGCTCGGTTCTTATCTCCTGCCTGTCCTCAGACCTCCGATGCATCAGCGTCTAGGTCTCTCTGCGCCGCCAGCTGGCCGGAACAATACTCTACCTCTGGACTCAGACTGAACTATTGGACCAGGGTAGGGACTCACTTGTCACTATGTTATCGATCCTTAGACTCATGCATTGCAACATTTTCACAGATTAACTATCCTTGGACTGCTCCCACCTATCTTTAAACCGGCCGTTTAGACAGTCTTGCTGGGAATTTAACTCTCAGGACTTTCTCCCGTTCAATTTCATCAGTACGATCAAAACTTGGAAAAATATATTTTTTGTACTCTGGCACATCAATAGAAATACATACAATAGAATGTTAAATGATCCACTTTGATACCTCTGGAACAATTTACATGTATTTTAAGAAAAAAAACAATTTTTTTTTCTAATTCATTTCTGTTTGCTTATTTAATTAAGTCAAATGTTTAAATTACTATAGTGCCAGCTGTATTTGTAATCCTTTCTGTTTTTTGCTTTGTCTTATCAAAACTGATCTCTCTTAAAAAAGAAATCTAGACTGCATTGAGAACAATTGTATGTATTAAATGTAGATTAAAAAAAACGAAGAATGACATTGCATTTTTATAGACATGCCGAATTTTCTGGGGTTCCTCTTACTTTATCTACAATGGATTTAGTTTTAATAAAACTTTAATGAATAGAGTAAATGTAGTTATGTATACAAAAATGTGTATATATATATATATATATATATATATATATATATATATATATATATATATATATACACACACACTACCATTCAAAGGTTTGGGGTCACATTGAAATGTCCTTATTTTTTAAGGAAAAGAGAACTTTCATCTGAAACTCGACAGTCTATTCTTGTTCTTGAAGAAATGAAGGCTATTCCATGCGAGAAATTGCTAATAAATTGAAGATTTCCTACAACGGTGTGTACTACTCCCTTCAGAGGACAGCACAAACAGGCTCTAACCAGAGTACAAAAAGAAGTGGGAGGCCACGTTGCACAACTGAGCAAGAAGATAAGTACATTAGAGTCTCTAGTATGAGAAACAGACGCCTCACAGGTCCCCAACTGGCATCTTCATTAAATAGTACCCGCAGTAGCTTGTTTGTGCTCTATATAGGTGTGTGTATATATATATATATATATAGATATATATATATATATCTATATATATATATACATGTGGTGTTTTACATCCATACGATCTAAACAGGCATTTTCTCCTATAAAGCACTTTTAAAATATTTCAATAACCCTTTTTGAGAGGTTAAAAAAAGCTGTACCTCCACTATTCTGTCTCCAGGTCGGACACCTGCTCTCTCTGCAGGTGAGTCGGGGTCCACAGAGCGGATGAACTGTGCTCCCTTCTTCTTATCGTTTTGCAGGTTGAAGCAGTAGCCGTTCTCTGCCTTTACCAGGCGACACAGACGAGGAAGGAGCTCCACGGTCGGCTTAGGTGAAGCATCAACCTGCAGCTGAGACAGCAGCAGAGATAAGATCTGTGCAGAGCATGCAGATTAAATGTCAACAACACAGGAGTAATTAATTTGAAGTTCTAGTTATCTATTTCTGATCTAAGTAAAATGAAGCAACAATATAAGCAACAAGCCTTTTTCTTCATTAGACATCTCTGTTGATCTAGTTTTAATTAAAAAAAATCTAATAGGCTTACAAAAATGTTGCATAAATGAGTCAAATCTATAAACATAAAAACATGGTTGTAAATCCAGCGGTTCTAATTATCTATGAGGGACTGTTAGGTAGACTATTTCCTTTCCATTTCCGTTCCTTAAAATGTTAGAGATTTAAACAACCGACAGGATATCCGCCCTAACCACAAGGATTCCTTACGGGGGCTGTTGTGCTGGACTGAAAAAGATTGTGCAGTTTAGGGCTGGGCATTAACTCAATATGGCATATCAGTTTTCAGCACAGTTGCTGTATAACAATCCTTTTGCGTCATCCCATCTAAAGACCAAATGCCTCGCCTCCTATTTCCATATCAGTATAACTGTGAGTCACAGTTATACATTCTTTATGATTGATCATTTATAACTGATCCTAATATTTGGATTTGAAATCAAGATTACAGCTCTTTGTAAAAGTATTCAATGTCATGAAACTCCAAATTTTCAGGTGATAACTGCAAACTTCAGTTATATTATATTTTACTTTGCAAAAAATGTTTTTACTTTTTGCTTTCACTAGGCCATTCTAATGCACAAACATAATTCAATCTATTCCACTGTAGCTGTGGCTGTATGGTTAGGGTTATGATGCTGGACGGTCTTTTGCAGCCTCTAACAGGTTTTATTCCAGATGTGCCTTTTGTATTTAGTCCATCTTTCCATATTTTTGACCAGTATCCCAGTCTCTGCTGAAGACAGGCATGATGCTGCCACCATCATAAGGCATCTTGGGTGTGCTGTCTTAAATTTTATATGCAAGGGTAGAACGTAGCTCTAATTTTCAACATATTATAGATAGTTATTAGGTTCAAAGCGGTAAACATAAAAACACAATACATTTAAGTTTCTCATTTGTAACAAGAAAAAAGCAAATGATGGTTCCACAAAATATTAACATAGGAAGTCTGAATATAAATTTTAAGTTTTACTTTTCAGATCTTTAGTCAAAGAGAAAAATACATTGAATTTTTTGTGGTTATATGAAATATGAAAACATTCTATGGTATGAATAGTTTTAAAAGACACTGTGTGTGGTAGTATGGATGTTTTGCTGCAATAAGGTGACATTGTGGTTCAAAAAGCCGACCGGAGGGGGCTAAGCGGATCCTCCTGAGCCGCGATGTCTAATCCTGACCCTTGTGTTCAGCAACAACAGCTAACACAGTGCGTCACACACCAGCCTGGACACTGACTTTAACAACACGTGCCATGCTGGGTGTGAGTGAGCCCATCACGCCATGGGGCTTTATATTACTCGCTATCCTGTTGGGAAGAGCACTTAGTGACTGTCTAGTGATACAGCTGAGAATCTACCTTCTCAGGAAACTGACCTGAGAGCTGACAGTCCTATTTCCAAATCAAAAGGAAAGAAGGGAGAGTCCACGGTGTTGTGATTACATCTGTGCATAATAACATTGAAGTGGATCTGCTTGACACTTGAACTGTGAGCTGCAGTCATAAAACAAAGCATCAGGATGACCCAGCCCTGATATACAAGCTTGTTTTTAGCTCCATATTAGGGTGCACACATTGCTCGGCTATAAAGAGCCGAGGTATTATTTTACAACAGAAAACAGCATTTTCAGGCCCTGTATTCAACCAATACATATTTTTGCAGTTTTACATCCACAAACTAAAATATACAATGCATCCACCTTAATCTGATAAGCCAAAAGAAATGAGTCCTTCTGAATGAAGTATAATCTAACAAAAAGTTTAAATCATATAACAATGACCTTATGTTTAAACTCTCCATCCATCATCTGAAGATGCCATTTATGTGGTCCATGTACACATATACAGACATGATGACCCCCGCAACTTATGTTACTGCCTGCAAGGGTAAGGGGAACTAATATCATTAAAGCATCCAAGATGTCCATTGTGAGGCTTGGGGAGCTGCACAGATCCAAACCTCACAGATTGCATTTCTTGATTGGAAAAGCTCTGAAAGGGAACTTTTTATATTTAGGGAACAAATGAGCAATGACTTGAACATTTCAAATTCAAGACACTCCCTCCATTAAAGACATTTCATCCCAGCGTTGCGTGCTCCGAGCCCGTAACATCATCAGCAACCACGCACACCGCCACCAAGGATTGTTCTCTGCCGCCGTCTTGGAAGAGGCTTCACAGCATCCGCTGCAGGCCCAGCAGGTTATGCAACAGCTTCTTCCCAATTCCCAGTCGACTGTAGAGCTGTTGAAACTCTAATCCAAACTCTAATCAAGACTCTGCGTCACACTTGAAAACATCATACTTGCACTACCAACAGCACTGAACCTTTCCATATATATGCCTTTTGCACCATGACATGACTTTCTCCTACACTGTTTGCAGTCTGATCACTGCTGCACTGTATGCATCGAAATTCTGTGTTGTATAAATTCTGTGTATACAAGATAACAATAAAGTTTGTCTAACTCTAAGTCAAATGCTATATGCATTGACAAATTCATATTCAAGGTAAATTAAAGGGATTTTAAACAAAGAAACAGATTGATATACAGCTTAGCAGTGAATATTAACATTTCCAGTTCACAAATGCAGCAGTGATCAAATGTAAACAGTGTGGGAGAAAAAAAAAAAAACAAGGTGCAAAAGCCATTCCTGTGGAAGTTCAGATGCAAAAGCAACCCAAATATCAGGGAGAACAGTCCATGGTGGGGGGTGTGAGAGGTTGCTGATAATGTTACAGGCTCAGTACATACCTACAGTTCGCATGTTGGTATCCTGGGGTACTAGTTTAATTTGTTATAATTTCATCAAAAGAAAGACCAAACAGAGATCAAGCTACTAATGAAATTACAACTGGAACAGAAAATGGATAGAAAGTTCAGCAAAGCTCCAAACGGTACGACTTGCATTCATTTCACTCTAACAGCTCCTTGGCTTTGTTAATACAATAAATGTGTAATCTTTGCGTCTGTCTGAATTTGTCAGATTAGAGTTTCACCGTCAAAATGTTTATGTTTATGTATGAGAGAGATGGAGAGAGCAATGAAGGGATAACAGACATGGTCTGGAGATGTACATAACAGGTGTGTGTGTTTATTAAGATGAAGTAGAATGCTGTTGTGTTGGTTGGCGGCAAACTCATATTAAGCATTTATATCATATGTTCTACCTCTTGCCTCCACCAGTTGTTTTCATTGACTGTTTTCGGATCAAATAATTTTTATTTTTATAACATTTTAATTTTATTTTGACTTTTCTAACAGTGCAACCATGCCATTTACAGCTCCCTTCGTTTATTCCCAACTGTTTGAGTTTTTACTGCTCCTTTAATTTGCTGCTCAGCCCTCAGTCTACCGAACTTAATCTCTGAACCAGTAAAGTTTTTCTTCTAAATGTTCAATGCCATTTCTTCGAGTGAACACCTTCTGGCAGCATGGGATGTTCTAGCCTGCCTGCTTACACTTATATGGCATTATTGGGGTGTTAATTATGCAGATTTACAATTCTTGGGAACACTCACTCATATACGCACAGGAGGACTGCATCATGTTTATGAGGTAGTTTACGATAATTTACTGAAGAACATTTGTTGAATCTGATGTGCTGAGTTTGTAAAAGCCTACGATATGAGAAAAAGTAAGAGACGGGATTCAAAAATGTTGTTGCATAAGGCCCGATCATTGCAAATCATCATGAAAACAATAGTCCATGGTGAAACATGGTGGTGGCGGCATCATGCTGTGGAATAATTTACCTCAGCAAGGACAGTGAAGCTGGTCAGTTTGATGAAAAGATGGATAATGAGATATTTTTTATTTGTTTTAAGGAAGTAAATTACTTTTTCTGAAGCCCTAAAAGGATTCAGGTTGATATTCAAGTACTATTTATAGTGTATGTGTTTTATGATTAAACATTAGAAACAGAGCTGTATTTCTATTCAGGGGTTTTAAAACAAAGAGATAAACCTTTACATTAAGCAGATCCACCAGACTTCTGCAAAGAACCTACCTCAAATGGTTGAAACAGTGGTTAAGACCTTGCACTTATTATAAGAAGCTGAATGTTTTTCTCTGTTTAGTTTGTATGTTCACTTATACTATTAAATATTAATAATATTATTATTAATATTTAATTTATTAAATAGCACTCAATTGCTTTAATAAAAAAAAAACTATTAAGATAATGGATTTTTTTTAAGAATGAAGGAAAATAGTTTGTATTTTCTATTTCTGTTTTCATTAGTCTCATTCAGTTGTGGAGTCTCTATGCAGATAATGAAGGAAACATGAAAAAGAAAAAAAAATTAATCTGCAGGTGCATAATCTTTACCATGAACCCATATGTGCCTCTAGATCTCCAAACTATAGAATCCTGGTCCTACATTTTCAAAATTAAAACCACATCAGGGAATCAGGTTGTAATGTGAAAAAATGCTGAAAAGCTCAAGTGACATAAGAACATATGCCAGTGGCTATACATTACACGACTGACAGAGATTAGTAAAAATGTGTCTGTAGTCAGCAGTGTTTGTTGGCTGCCAACTCTGAAGCTTCATTGTTCTTCTGTTATGTGGGCTTCTGCTGCAGTTGCCATCATAACATCAAGCAACAATAATGTTGCGTCTGTATTTATATGTTTAGAGAGGTGAATGTCAGTCACAAGATGGGCTGTGTGTGGAAATGTGTATCCCTTTTTCAACTTAATTTGTCATGACAGGTAAGCTCGAGGTGCTGCAGAGCTGCGGAACTACATTAATAGTACTCCACTTTCACAAAATAATATCCTTATCTGTAGATCATTGGTCAAAGAAAGTTCTTGACCGAGTGTTGACAGTTATGTAACCGCCTCCAGTTGGTCTTATGATGTTTTACTCAAATATCCAAGTAATCGTTTAACCAAAACGAATAAAAGCTGCTGTGATGCAGAGTGAGAGAACAGCCTTTATTTACTCTGCGTTCAGCTAAACACATGGCCAGTTTGACGTGAGCCGCTTGTCTTGCGTATCTGGGCTCAGAATGTTTGGAGTGAAAACAATGAATCTAGTCCGTGAGAGTCAGCTCCCAGTTATTGGCCCAGCCTGTTGGCCTTTCAGACATCACTCTAAGGCCTGTAGGGCGCTTGTGGAAATGCATACCATGCATTGAATTTTAGGAATCTAAATGTGTCCCCTTGCAGATTTTTCAGCATAAGCTGCAGTATTTTAGTAGTTAGGTAACCGCAGCCTTCTGTTGCACTAATGTGACAAGTTCTGCAGCTGGGAAATATTATATAATCATGTTAAATCATTTAACATTACTTGGGTAAAATGCAGGCGTTTTTTGGTTGTAACAGTTTAAAGGTGTGAAACTGTTCTGTTAGTAATAATGATTTCTACATTAATTTACTCTCCCTTCCATTTTAATGCAACCTACTCCTCGACATCAGGTCCTACCTCTGTGTCTGTCGCTGAACTTGATGTCGTTGATGCTCTCTTGTCTTTGTCTTGAGTGTTTACGTGAGTTGAGGGGTCTACAGCAGGAAAATGAAAGAAGTATCTAAGGTTGGATTTAATAGACAGTGGGGAGTTGGCTCTTGGTATGGGTGAGGCTGAAGGGGTGGTTCTGGGAGAGGGACGCGGAGAGAGGTTTCCCATTTCAATAGCCTGGTCTTCTGTGCAGGACAAGCCCTGGCTGCGCAGATATTCATCCGTTTCTCTGTCCGCCACTAGCAGCCTGGTGCGGTGGGGCACCTCGCAGATTCGATTCACCACCTACAGAGAGGAGAAACAAAAATTCTGAGACAGAGCAGACCCGAGGCTGTGCAGAAGCCTTTAAGCAGCATATCTTTTTGGAGTTCAACTCTGTTTGAGCCACAAGCAGAAACAGCGTCACTGGCGTCCACTTTTAATAAAATCTTAATAATTTATTTAATTTTGCACGTAATAGAGTTAGCTCTATGGTTAAAAACAAACTAAATGACAATGTGATTGATTACAATTTGTTTGGCAGCTGTCCTTTTAATTAATTTCGTAAAAATACATAAAAAAAAACTCTTGGAATAAATTAAAGTATTAGATAACAAGACTAAGAAAAGAAAACACAGAAATGTTATGTCATGGCCTTTACTATCAGGTACACAATCAAGATATACTTTCCGCTAGGAGGGTAAACAAAGAAAGGTCATTTATAGAGAAGCTGGCTGCTAACACTGAGCTGTATACAAGAATAATAAATTGAGTGGAAAATTGAGTGGAAGTAAAAATTTTCACAGAGAAGGGTAATAAAAAAAAAACTGAATTCTTGGACATCTGTCACAGGAAATAAAAACAAACAAAAAAACAATTAAAAACAAAACAAAAAAATACTAAACTGTCTGTAAGTGAGTGAAGTTTTATTTCATTTGGAAAAATGAAGATCATAGTTTGATGATTGGTTGGCTGTTTGTAGGATCAAAGAGTGGAAAGAAGTTCTGCAGATGCATAATAACTAAAAACAAAGATTACCTTAACAAAATGCCAAACTTAAAATTGTTGTGGAACAAAGGCAACAAGGCATAAAGTATTGATGGAAAAACAGGCAGCCTAGACGAAGGACTGGACAATAAGGAATACATGCTGAAGCAGCCAGAGCAGAAAGAGAACAGGGAGACTGAATCAACATGAATTAAACAGATATATAAAGACACTATCAAACAATGGGGAAAAAGACTGAATAGAAACCAACAGACAATATACAAATAGAATAACTAAAAAACTTAAATGCAAGAAAATAAACTAATGGGGCTACATCATGAGGAACTCTGCTGCAAAGAGGCAAAAAAAAGAGGGCTTTGGTGCTCATTGCTTGAGAGGAAGAGTGACCTCAGGTGTTCTCTGGGGAGGAACAGCAGACTTAGATGTTAAAAGGTGTGAAATATGAATCACTGAAGCTTCAGCTGTAGACGAGAGAACTGCTGCTGTGGATATGAGGACAACCACTTCTGCTGCCACTGCGGGTGCAAGATCAGTCCCACTCTTCTACAGACCACTAGATGTCTACCATCATCTATGATGAGAAGAGGAAGTATTGATGGAGTAAGTGAAGATTGGCTGGACCTTCCAGGACAGAAAGCAGGGAATCCAGGGCAGTAGTGTAAGAGTCGGTCATTTCCTCCTCTTTGACAATATTGTCTGTAGTAAAGCAAAGGAAGAAGTAGCAGGAGGTGTAGAGACAGATGATATTGGAGAGGGTTTGAGCTTTGGAGCTTGAAGCATAGTGGTGATGATATCTGGGATCCAGGAGCAAAGTGTTCTGTCAGAGTCTTCTGCTGATCAGTGTCAGTAGTCTCTAGTGTTGATTTCCAGTGGCGAGAAAGACTCTCCCATTCTCACTCATCTCTAATCTGTATCATGGTGAGCTAGAGGTGTTTAGGAGCTCCTGATAAACAGAAGCGACAAATTTAAATCTGTTAAAACCTTCCTCTTGCCTGAACAGGAAGCAGGGAGAGTAGAAAGTATAAGGTGGCAACAGAATAATCCAGCTAAACTATGAAAACAGGTTAGTATAAAGTACTGAGGGACAAGTGGAGAATGGCCCAGAATGAAAAGACAATCAGATAATCGGGACATCATGTGAAGCAGTTGTGGAAGAAGGTGAGCAGGGAGACAAGGATTAATTAGGAAAAAAGACTAATTAACAGGAAGGGAGTTAAAAAGAAACTGGGGGGAATCTAATAGAGATCACTCAGAAAATAACAGCAAGTTTACAAACAATAGACCATAAACTGAAAAGCTAAGCACAAATGAAAATGAATAAGGCTAAACTTTACAAAGCATGAAGCAATTCGAAAATTGAAAAGCAAGAAAATGCAAAAAATCTAAGGATAACACCCAGAGGGTTGAGGAAGAACATGTTTTTTGAAATCCATTGTGAAGTTCCCACATTATTGGGAGAGCGATGCAATCTGCAGATGTTTGGCCATAGTTTCTCTAGGAAGGGTGTCTCCAAATTCAAAATCAGCACATCTCTCTACCTGGACATTTTAGAGTAGTTTCCTCTGTCCAGCCCTTAGCAAAAAGTAGTTTATTCAAGTATACTAAACGTGCACTACTTTCATACTTAAAATCAGGCAGTGCACTGAAGAGTTTACTTATTCTAAACCATATTTCATGTACTTAGCAATAGTATAGTCAAGTGTACTTGACTATAATATTGTTTACTATATTGTTTACTGAAGTATAATTTAAGTTTACTTTAGTAAACTATTTAGTTCGAAGAAGTATTACTTTAGTAATACTTCAAGTACACTTAAAGTACTTGTTTGGGTATACTTTCTAAACTTATACTTATACTTAGGTATTTTTAATAGAATTTACTTCAAGTATACTACTTTTTGCTAAGGGAGCACCTGCCCACACTGCCAGAAATAGGGAGACTACTCCAAATCCAGCAATGAAGAAGAGGTGAAGGTCACTAATATAGGAACTAGAGCTGCTTTCAGACCTCGGATGTGTCTACGGGTAATCACCTTAACATGCCTGGTGAAGAGCAAAATGGTTTGTGCTGAAACCGAGTTAACATAATTCATGGTCAAAGCACGCCCACATCATATCACCTTTACCAGATGAAATGGGAAGCACATCTATAGATCTACTAATCACTGAAAATGTTACCAACATTCTCTGGGGAAATTATTTGCTTTCTTTCTAGTAGGTGGAGATTTTTCCATGGATGCTATTTTTTGCTCATTCTCTTTTCTTAACCTCGGCCACAGAGGTTAAGAAAATGTATTTTTCATAGAACCGAAGCTGATTGGGACATATATTTTCCCTTATAAATTAAATAATTTTGATCTGCTTTATGTAATGGTTTAGATTGTCCCTGTATAATAACATTGATTATCTAAAACATATAAGTAAAGATCAAGAGCCAATTTGTAAGGGAAAATACTTTTTTCACCATCAAATAATTGTCACTTTTTGAACTGAATTGGTGAACTATTTACAAGTGTTTGATGAATAAATGATTGTGCAAAGGTTTATAATTTGCACTAAAGCCTGAAAGTTAATTTCCACTTATAATTTGGGCCTCAGGTGGCTTTAAAATAATTAATGTGTTATTTTGCACACTCGGCTCCTGATGGCACATAATACTTTTGTGTTGTGACAAAGACAAGCTGTGATTCCCATTACAAGGGCCATCGGTGACCCATTTAGGGCCGCCCTCGTCTTGGGGCAAAAAAAAAAAAAAAAAAAAAAAAGTTGTCTAACAGGTACATAGCGTGCTGTTCCGCTCATGGCTCAACTTTAAACAAAATCATATTAAAGGTTTAATTCATCACTCACCTGACGATGACTTTCTTTCTCAACATTCTCTCCGTTCACCTCCACCAGACGGTCCCCAGGACGCAGTCCGGCCAGGTCAGCCGGGGATCCAGGCTCCACTGTGCGGATGAACTGTCCGCCTTTCCTCTTCTCTCCATGCAGGTGAAAGCCATATCCGCGCTGACCCTTGATCAGAAAGCAGAGCCTGGGTCTTAGCTCGTTCTCCATCCCAGATTGTAAATGAAGAAAAACACCTCAGAGTGACTCCCAGGAATAAACAGCTAGATTTTCTCCAAGAGCTTTGGGAAACTGCGCGCTCCTAATAATCCAACGCGCCTCCACTCGCTCCAAGGACAAAAAAATCATCTTCATTACTCAGCATCATATGAATCCCGTAACAATTCAAAGAAAACCTGAGAGTGGAAATTAAATTTAGCCCAAAAAAACAAACAAAAAACACTTGGGGATTAATCCATGTTTAGCAAATACCCGCGCTTGAAGCGGTGCGTAAAACAGCGCTAAAAAGGAAACACGGACAGGTTAAGTCCCGTCCATCAGTATAATCCAAGAGATCAGAGATTAGAAAGCTGGTCCAAACACGCAACACTTAATTCTCCTCGTCAGAGCGGGGCGTGTGTCCTCCTGAGAGACCTGGTGAGAGTGAGGAAGGGAGGCGCCAATAACGCAAACCTCTATACCCCACAGCGCGCACCTGGAGACCCAGCAGCCGCGCTATAGGCTGGAAGACTTATTGGAAATATATAGTTTGGCACTTATTAAGTCAAGGTGTGCGTTCAGTCAGGTCTCCTCCTTTGATTTCATTCCGGAGAAGTAGCTGAAACCCGACAGGCTGTGACCTGAGAAATCAAATCTCCCTCATCAGTCCTCTGTCCCCCTATCTGTGCTGCAGATCTCAATAAGCGCGCCTGCGTGAAAGGGGGTGTATTGGGCATGAGACAAAAGGGTTTCTGTGTGATTGTTGTTGTTGCGTGTGTGTGGAAGGAGTTCATCATATATGCTTGAGAACGTTTCACCTTCCTTGATTTGACTCTGAGGCAAGGAATAAGAGATGTTTGCATCTTTGCAAATTTTGGTTTTGTTTTCTGCACTGAGACATTTTCTCACACAGAGACAAGGCTTTCTTCCTTAGAAGACAAAAGTGAACCTACTTATATTATATAACGACTCTTTATTTTTCTTCTGCAAAAAAGAATGTGGAGAAAAACGTCAGACATGAATGTTTCTAGACTGATTTGAGAAAACAAGAATTTTGCATGATGGAAACAGTACTGTTAATGTGTACTCAAAGTTATTATTTAGAAAAAATATAGCCCAAAACCCAATCACTTTTTTTTATGTTAACTGTTACAACCCCCACCCTTAAGACCACTAAGGGTAAATTCTGGCACTAGGTGTAACATAAGTGGGGGCTTGTCCGGGATCCTGAATTTGCGAGAGGTCCCGACTTCATCCTGGACAAGCCCCCACTTATGTTACACCCAGTGCCAGAATTTACCCTTAGTGGTCTTAAGGGTGGGGGTTGTAACATAAACCATCTTGAGTCGTCAGTTGTCAACCAGCTTGAAGCTTACATCTATAAAATAAAACATCTATTACTGCTTCCCTTTTGGCTTTGGTTAAAGGCCTTCCACTGAAACAGATCTGCTTAACATTAACAATTATGATGTCAGCTGATTCAGGAAAATACACTGTATCTTTCTTGTTAGACCTCTCCTAGCTTTGACAAAAAAAATCATACAGTCTGAGGGATATGGTTTTAATATCTGGTACTGTTTATTCTTTTGTATTTAATATCTGATATGACTTTATATGTGTTTGCAATTAGTTTCTTATCTGACTGTTAAGACATTTCTTGTTTTGTTTTTTTGTCATGGTACCAAATATGCCCTATTTGACATTATAAAAGGAAGCAGGGTTGAGGTTGAGGAGAAAATGTCAACAGGCTACAACACAAACAGGCTCTTCAAACGTTTTAAAACTGCGCCAAATCCATGCTCCATGTTTCTGTTTTTATATACATTTTTCATCAGGGTTAAATAATTCAGCAGTTTGTTTAAGTTCAGTCCCTCCCCCACCCCACCCCACCCCTTAACAGGCTTATTGTCATGAAATCTGGATGAGTTAGAGATAGGGTGAGGAGTTTGATCATCCAGGAGAGGCACGGCGTAGAGCTGCTTCTCCTCCACATCAAAGGGAGTCATCTGAGGTGACTCAGATACGTTTTTCGGATGCCCCCTGGATGCTTCCCCAGGAAGTCTTCCAGGCATGCCCCACTGGGAGGATGCCCAGTGGACAATCAAGGACATGTCTCTCAGCTGGCCTGAGAGACATATGATCAGATCCTTGTTTCAACACCATGCCACAAAGCGACTCACCTGATCTCTGTCCTCAGCTTCTTGTCCATCTTTGATCCACCCAATGATTGCAGGTTCATCTGAGTACTTCTGCAGATCACAGGACTCTTACTGGAAGTCCGACGTGTTCAGGGTAAAAAAGGAATGGTGAAAGTACGGTCCCCTGTGGTGCTCCTGTGCTGCAATCTGTTTGATTAGGCAGCTGACCCCTCACCCTCAAGGTGATAAAGATATAATATTTTGAAATGTATTTATTATTCAAATGAATCATTTTTTCAGTAGACTTGTTTTCAGTGTTTATGATACTAAATAGTTAGGGCATAATAAAACAAAGACACATTTTTTTATATGAATCCCAAAGAAATCCCAAAATCCAGTTTAAGATCTTTATAGGTTTTAACATCCAACTCTTCACATTTATTCAGAAATAAACTAACAATTTAAAGTTTAGATCTTAAACAGTGTGGAAAAAGCCAGACTAGTCATCCATCCATTCAATCTGATCTGCTTGTAACCGATCAGGTTATGGAGGCACCAGGTTGAAGAGGGAACCACAGACATCCTTCTTTATGGCAAAAACCTCCACCTGTTTCTGGGAGATCCTAAGGTGCTTCCAGGCCAAACTGATTATAGAATAAAATAGAAAATCCCTTTATTGTCCCACAATGGGGAAATTGCGGTATTACAGTTGCAAAGGTTCACAGCAAAAGAGGTCACGCAAATGTGGACCTTAAAAAAGTGCATAAAAAGAAGAGAATAATACAAACTCACTCTTGCAAATGACGGATCCTCGTGGTGGTCTGATCCCAGTTGAACATGCCCAGATAACATCCAACAGGAGGAACTATAGAGACATCTTAATCAGATGCCTGAACAAACTCACTGATTTTGATCAGCTCCCCTAGATGACTGAGCTCCTCACATTTTCAGTAATCCTGAGTCCAGTCACCCCTTTGGAGGAAGGCTGAATACTCATCCATATCTCAGGACCATAGGTGAGGGTCAGAATGTTAGAGCGGTAAATCAATCTTCGTTTTTCTTCATCTCTCTTTACTTCCTACAGTCACTAGTAAATAAGACTGCAGTAACATTAAAAAGGCATGACAACCTCAGCATCCCAGCGTTGTCCAGGATTTTTTGATTACATCAATAATCATCTTCTTTGATAATCTTTTTCTGTTGAGGTTACAGTAGGAATACCCTGAACTAGGTCAGGCAGGATTAACCTAATCAAATTTAATGGCTGCAGGATTGACAGGGGAAATTTAGTATTTTGGTGCATTAAAACACAAACACAGAGAAACGGACACAAGCAGATATTTGATCATAGATATTCATTAACGTTTATAGGGTAAAAAAATGATAACAGATAGAAGTAGAAAAAGCTTAGGTTGAGGTTTCCTGTTCAGTTAAACTCGATTTCAAGTTGTTTTTCAATAAAAGCTTAATGTTTTAAAGTTGCAGTAATAAAAAGGATTAAAGCAAAAATTCTTTAAAATGTAGTATAAACATTTTTATTTCATAGAAAAACAAAAAAAAGCAGGAATAAGAAAATATATTTATTCCATTAACATAAAACGTTTCAGTTATCCTAACAGATAAAAACTGTATAAACAATAAATGCACATGTTGAACATTGTAAACACAGTCAGTTTGTCTTTCTATCCACCATCTGCACTCAGCTCACACTGAAATGCAACAATAATCAGCGCTCAATGTTTTTTAACCTGCCTTCTTTGTCTGATGGAGGGAACACTTGACTCTTGATCTGCCTCTGTGGCATTGCTTTCCTGTTCAGGTTCAGTTTTAACTTTATATTTTTTCGTTGGACCTGGAGAGCGAGGGGATTCGGGTTTTGGTCTCTTTACAGGAGAACCTTTGTGTGCAGATGGACAGCTGTACTGATTTAAACATATGGAGCAGAGTGGATTAACTGGGAGACAAACCTGCTGTCCGAAACCAACGAGCAACCAGTTGATCTCACTCCACAGCTCCCTACAACACAAGACATAGAATTCTGTTTAATTTTTGTCCACCTGGGGGCAGCATAGCCACCTGGATGATAACAGAGGCAGTTTTTTTTATCCTGTCAGCATTCCTCCTCAGTGCTTTCCCCCAAATGCCAGGTATTAGACATTTACTGCATACCTGATAACCTTGAGTACTTGTCGCTGATACCACTGGTCCCTAATGGTCTATGTTATCATTGACTATTGAACATTTCTAATACAGCTACATTTTTACTTATTTTTGTGTATAATCCAAGTAACTTTCAATTTTACAGAGTCTCAAAGGAAAAAATACACAAATATTTTAACTACATATAAAATATACATATATATGTTGCTTTTTTATCAGGCTTCAAAGGGTTAATATGGAATCAGCCAAAAATAAGTAAGTAAGCAGGTAAGTAAGGAAGAATTATG